TAAAACCACAAACTACATGGACCAGAGGATTCTGATAGGTCAAGTTAAAAACAGCACCAAAACCACACAGCCCACAAATATTAAAATCTCTGCCCTGTATCTTGTCTACATGATTGAAGTGTTTTGATACCATGAATAAAATGAGGAAGACAAACAATACCTTTCTTATCAACTGTTAAGCAGTTTCTTTCTTTCTGAAATAGAACTTTGTTTCTTGTCAGGATGCTCTGGACTCCATTCTCCACATCTTTTTCCTCAACTGACAACACACTAGAAACGCAGACTGGCACTGTAAACAAGAATGGTTCTGAGAGAAATGGTTCAAAGTACTGCAGTCATCCCTGGTGGTCTGTTATACTTGTCCGTACTCGCCTGTATGCAGTATGTATACATCACTGTCGTGGAGGAAACAATGGACAATTTTGTCTTCACTGCTCGCAAGAAAATTTCAGGGAATTGCAACAGTTGCAGCATACTTCAAATATGTCACTTTCTTCCCACATATTTCCACACTGACCAGCGCGGCCATTGGCCGTAGCTGATGACTGAGGCCCAGAGAGAAGAAGGAATGCATTTCAGATTAATTACCATGTTGTTGAAGCAAGAGACAATGTCAAATTCATGTGAGGTGTCGAAAGACATACAAACGCCATGTCTGTCTTCTGATGTGACAGCCACTTAAAAAGGACAGCCTTCTTGTGTACAGAGAGGAATGCGGACACAGGTTTGAGCTCAGCTGCATTTCTGACGATCTGGAGCCGAGCCAAAGAGAGGCATGATGACAGGCAGACGGCCCCTCGATAGTATCAGCACCTTGCAATCTGCCTATGCATTCCATGCAGATATCAGACAAGCGCGTGTGACGGCAGTTTACAGTTTATCTGCCAGAGATACATGTAACAGGTCGGGACTGGCTCTGAGACGCAGCTTCAGGAATTCGTCAAACTGGTTCAACTCCTGGAGCAGGAGTTGATCATTGTGGGGAAGGTTGTTGAAAATTAACTCCAGGAAAGGTTGGAAAATGACTAACACTGAACAACTGCTGCAAAACAGATCAATGAAGTCTAGTTGGTAACCCATGGGGGAGGAAAACACCAGGGTGAACGATTGGGTTTGTTAAATATCTGTGGTCCCACAAATTACCCTTCTTCTAACAAGCACTTGTTGAAAACGTGTGTCTTGTTTTACAGCAGTCTAGATTTGTGAGCACAAACGACAGTAAAAATCACATCCTGCCAACGATGTTGTTTGTTTTACGACTGCTTTTTCACCTGGAGCCGTGCTCAGGGCCATGAAAGTGAGTCACACTCAGCATGACTTTGGGACAACAGGCATGTCCCACAAAACAACACCTCGCCCCTCCTCCCCAGGCTTCACCAAACTCCACTTTACTTTTCCATGCATTTGTAACATACATTATATTTACCAACTGTACCTAATCTCTGGCTCTGACTACTGGAGGTCAGCGTCTCTGCCTAGTTTCAATCATCAGGCAAAAGCAATCAGCAAACCATATGATTAACTGTCTGCATTCAGGTCTGGCATAATTTGTTTTTTCTCTCTATCTTTTTTTTTTACCTCTTCCTGCAATCACAGGAGCAGTGAAACCTCTAACAGGTGGAGGGTGAGAACAAAATTTGCTTTCCTTTAGCCTCAATAAGAGAGAAAACAACAACCACACAGGCAGTAAGGGAGAGGGAGCAACTGCAATAACAAGATGAGGACAAATGTGCTCTTGATCTGCAGCAGATGACACCCTGCAGTCAGTCCTGCCATCCTGGTTAAAGTTATCACATGGAGGATCGTCTGCAGGTTGTTGTTGTTGTTGTGGAGGATTCACCTGTTATAATACTGTGAATGTGATGGTATCTCTGAGGTTTTTAAATGGTTGAATAACCATGACAAACAATACTTTATTATTTATTATTTAATAAAATAATGTATTATTGTTGTTGTTATTATTGTTATTATTATTATTATACTTTTTAATTTATATTTAAAGCCACTGTGTGAATCTATGTAGCCCACGCAGGCTGCCACAGGAGGCGCCATTAATAGTTCATTTGGGGCTTGAACCCAGGACCTTCAGGCAGATGTTTAAGGCAGGCATAATAACTGCTACACAATGGAACCATAATATTAACAATATTAATAATGTTTCATTTGTGTATAAATTCATATCTTAGTGTTGCTAATTTTAACTTCTAACACTAACATTTCCATCTTATTTGTATGTGTATTTCTCACAGTGTCTAAGTGAATAACCGTTTACATCCTCTGGCCACATAAAAATGACAGAAGGGATTCATTTTGGGTTCAGTAATGTTTATTGTTTTGGTGGGGGTCCTGGTTATTACACCTCTAAATCACAGTGACAGACAAACCCAGCTGTAATGTTGATGTCAACGTTTTAATTATAGACATCTTTTCTTTATCAAAATCTGGAGCTCACACTACCCATGATGCAACTCTGTACTGATTATGACGACTGGGTCTGAGGTTTGGGTGTGTTCTGGTAATAGCCACTAAAGCAGCCACCGGCTTACATTCTTGAGCCCGACAAATGCTGACTCAATGATACCAGCTGAGGGGCAAGTTTAGAAACATTATTATCTGCCTTTATGTAACGGCGAGTAATAGTTGTGACCTATAAAAAGATTAGAATGAAAATCATAAATCCCTGTAGTTTTAAAATATAGACCTGACTGTAATTCAGATTTGACAAAGATAAATGGGAACAGGTGTAGCTTTCATGTAACAGGGCAGGTGTAGTTGTGATTAATCCTCTGACGTCCTGTCCTAACACGCCTTGTGGTACTGTTGACTTATTAAAATGTACTCACAGGCACGACAGAAACTAGAACACTCACATTTAGGCAACGACACAATTATTACCCAAACATTACTTCATATCTGGATTTGAAAGTGAGAAAGAGAGTTTTTGTTGTTGTTGTTGTTGTTTTTCTCTCTCCAGAAAGTCTTTAGGTCTTCTCTGAACATAAAGGTTTAAACGTGGGCCCCTTTAGATGTGTGCAGCCCATGTCAGTACATGTAGCCTGCATGTCAGGTCAGTAATCCAGACGTGTCGATCCTCAACCAGCAACATCCAATCCCACTTCCCAAGAAACTGGAGAGGAATAGTAGCAGTTACACACTGCTCTGGTTTTCCTGGTCAGACGGGTTTCTTTCCTTTGCCAAACATCGAGCGTGTACAAGCAAAACATATTGTGTCAAATGTAGTTTTTATTTACAGATGCACCCAGTGTCAACAGACCCCAGCACTTTGCAAGTCCCTGCAGCTTTTTCTGAAACTAGGAAACTGTGCTGTACAAATCCACAACACTCGTAACTCTTGTTAAAGTTTTGGGTTAAGTTTGGATTATGTGATACAAGACAAAAATAGGTTTTGAATATTTTTACAAGAGTTTTTGAAGTTACTCTCTGACCTTAGATCTGACTGGAATCCATGGTTTGGGGTTTTTGGGATGTGGCTTTTCTAAATTCCTGCTCATCTTGTAAATGGACCACTCTGACATATTTTAAATTGCAGAGACACAATCTTTCACAAAGATGTGATTACTTGACCGATACTCATGACTTTCATTCATTCTTTCTTCTATCGATGTGGTCAATATTATTTGTAGTTGACCAGACGAACAAACCTCAGTTGTCAAAATCAGTTGGTTCTTGAATTTGTCAAGCATCAAAATATTGTAATATATTGTAATTGTATATATATATATATATAATTATATATATATATATATATGAGCATGGCCCTGAGTTAGTACCTTATAAACAAAACAAACCCAAATGCTGCCTTCAGGAGCAGTCAGAAAATTTCTTTTCATGTCAAAAGAAGGAAATGTAAATCATGGGTCATGGGTCGCCCAGTAGTCTGATTAACCTGATAGTCTGCTTATCAAAGAGTAATTAGTTGGTTGACAATGTAATGTGATAAAACAGAAGAGTCAGTACCTGTTTAACTGGTGGTTAGTTTTTAGGTCATCGGCCTTTTGTGGTTTTTATATGGCATTTCGTTTTTGTATGAACATACAAAACACAGTTTATGGAAAAAAAAGAAAGATTAAGCACACCCTTTTATGTAACAAGAAAATGACCCACAAATTACCTTTGAATTAAGTAGTTTTAAAAACAGAATTATTTGCATCATCTTTTATTTAAGCACATAAAGCTATTTAGTAGGTTTACTGTGAGTTAGTGTAAAACTAGCATGGCTACTTTTGTATGAAAAACGCTACCGGCCTGAATAAATTCAGAATAACCAATTCTAGAATACATTATTAATAATACATGTACCTAACCAAACCATGCACTGTGTACTTTGGGATTGCTGCTTCGTTTTAACTATTGTTCTTTTAATTCCGAGGGTGGGCTGAGCATTTGAATGCAACACAGCTCTCTGTTGTTTACGGGTGTGTGACGTGGAGTGAGTTCACGGTTGCACACGGACTCGGAGCTGAAGTCAGTGCACGCTTACGGACAGTAGTGACATGACGGAGCTGTGCTGTTGGTAACGATAAAAAGGGTACGCGCTTAAAGTCGTTTTAACTTCCCCGTGACAAAGGAAGGAACTTCGAGGAAGAGCTTTGAGCGGTCCTGGGGCACATGGAAACGCAATGTGGTTGGGAAAACAGCGGTGGACTTTTTCATAGTTTCACCCGGGAGGAGGCGAAGTGAGCGGCGAGATTCGACATGCTCATCCCGGCGCCGTTGCTTGCCTCCCTGCTGCCTCTGCTGATCCTCTGCCGGGAAACTTTCAGCCAGTACTCCAGCGACCAGTGCAGCTGGAAGGGCAGGTGAGATTCACCACGTCTGGATGGACGCATGGATGATTAAAATAAGATTATTTATGGCAAAAGTTTTGTTGAAGTTTGTGATAAAAATTGAACATTGCTCTGATCCAAAAATAATTTCGAATAACGATATTATGATAAAATTGTTTGTCAAAATAAAGTTAAGGAACGAATATACTTTAATGTGGCTACATATGGCATACTGTCAGGTCACATCTCAGGTCAATCTCTAGGATATTAGAAAAAAAAAAACCTGTAATTTTTGGTGACCTTTTATAAATCTGCTGCATTCTTCTATCTATCTCTGGGCCGTGGTCTACGTTTTTAGCCCGAATTAAACAGACCCCTTTATTTTCTTTGGGAAACTAAAACCCCTTTTAAATAGTACCCATGCATTATAGGAAATGAAAACATGTACAAATAGTCAAAACTGAAAGAAACTTATTATCCTTGTATTGTTTCACAAAAACAATTTGATGAGATGAATGTGTCAATCACTGCTTTAACATTGATGCCAGTCACTATAATGTCTGTTTTAATCATGTAAAAGTTAAATCTATGCAAGTTAACTCATTCAAATACACTGGAAAAGCACTCTCCTCTTCTCCGTAAATCCATAACTAATCTAAAGTTTCACCTTCCTGTTAAACATCTGCTGAATTCTGTTTTGAACATAAGAGGCTGCTCTTCAAATGTTGTGGTTTTTGTTTTTCATCCTTCAGTCAGGAGGGGCAGACGATACTCAGCACTTTGAGCTCTCCACCAATAATCTGTTGTTCATTACTAAGACTCTTGACTAATCTCCTTTAATTGCATGCAGAAGTGATGATGTTAGAAAGAACTTAATTAGAGGCGTGCTGAGGGGAGCCTGGTTAGGAGGTTTTCGGGCTGCATATGCTCAGCATGTGCCCTGGGTTACTTTAGATCTACGGTGAATCTGAATTTCAGCATCTCATTTTCAGGAAACTGGGCGTTCCTCTCCCAGAGTCAAACCACTAGCTTGGCATGCGCATGCTGGTAGACTACTGATGGCTTCCTGCCTTTGGCTTTGCCACAGAATGACTGACAGACTGGAGTTTTCAAATCCTGACCAGGCATTAAGTTCTGGAGGGAGTCATCTGGTCATGCTGGCGCCACAGTCCGAAGTGCTGCCCGGACAAGTCTCTTCCAGTCTCTTTGGTGGCTTGAATGCGAGGGGAGGTTCGGTGCGTGACCTGCATTTGCACTTGCATGCAGCAGGCCTGGCTACTGTTGCTGCTGTTGTCTTGCCCAGAAGCCCCTGTGTCCCTCCATTCATCTACTTCTGTCTTCAAACTCTTCCCAAAGGCGGCCCGCCAGTGGTGCATTTTGCCAAAACTTTGGGCAGGAACAATGTAGTACAGGGAGTGAGTGTTGGAGCTGAGGTCATTTTGGCTGCTGCGGCTCGTGACTGGTCATGCAGCCAGTCTTGCACATAGGCAGCCTTTAATGCCTGAGGAGGAATGCAGTCTAATGTCCTTAGATTTGGCCTGAGGTTTTAAACTGGGCTAATTCAGCTTATAAATGACTGGAAAATTATTTGAAGTGGAAGATTTATTCTCAGTATTTCCCTTCTTCACAGGTCACAGTGATTGTATACATGATAATGATGAGCAACACCCAGTGCTCTTAACCTGCCCAGGGATTATCACTAGGTGGCTTGAAATGATGGTTAACTTGAGGCTGTGTCTTGAAGCACATGTGTTCTTGTACAATTCACACAATTATCATTATTATTTCACTCCCCACATACCTCATCAGACACATCTGAACTGAATTATTTTACTGAAAACTATCACAAACCGTACACTCATTTCTTTTAGAAAACACACGCTATTACTCATATATATTTACAGTGTTCTATTCTTTCTTCTTAGTTTGTGTTCTAATGGAAGCTGTTCCCTGTTTTCTTGTACGGTACTGTTCACTAGAGTGCTTCATGGATGAGTCATATGGAGAGTCTTTTCACTCAAGGGATAAATAAAGCACTTCAAATAATAATGAAAAAAAAATTAAAAATATCCCTCAATTTTTTTCTACCCTGATTGTTATTAACACACACTGATGTTCTGATCTTTCCATTTACTCTAGTGGACTAACGCATGAAGGCCACACCAGAGACGTAGAGCAGGTCTACCTACGTTGTTCCCAAGGCTCCTTGGAGTGGCTCTACCCCACGGGGGCGATCATCGTGAACCTTCGACCCAACACACTGTCTCCTGCTGCTGCTCGCCTCTCTGTTTGCATCAAACCCACCACAGACTCTAGTGGTACCAACGTTTACTTGGACCGTAATGGAAAGTTGCGTTTGCTGCTGCAAGAACAGGAGCAGGCTCAGGGCAAGGTGCACTGCTTTGGCATCCAGGAGGGGGCTATCTTCATCGAAGCCATCCCTCGCACGGACATTAGTCGGAGGATCACAGCGTTCCAGTACGAGCTGGTCAGTGACAGACTGGGAGCGGATGCAAATTCAGTTGGTGGTAAGAAGCACTTCCTGTATTATCTTCAATCTAAATATGAGTCACAAATATAGGAGTATTTCATTGACTATGATCTGAGCAGTATTCAGTGATGTGTGATGAAGAACTGCAGCACATGCAGCCACCTGCTGGTGGAAACTTTAGTAAAGTAGGACTCTGACAGTAGAAAACTTTGAAGAGAATTGCCGGTGAGTTAGGGTTTAAGAAACGCACGTCTCTTTAAGTTTAAACTTTCATTAGCTTTTCAAGGGTAAAATATTAAAGTTGAAAACTTGAAAACACAGCGTGCATCTGTACAGTAATAGTTTTTTTTGGACGGCAGTTTGTGGGGAAGGGCACAGCCAAACAGTGGGCCTCCATCTAAAAACACAGTCATGTGTTTTCACGCTGCGTACCTGCCAAACCTGCACAGTTTCACACTGTGAGCGAGGCTCTGTTTTTTTCCAGTTTAAGCAAAATATGAGCAGAATCAGCGGCACCACATCTGTTTGTACGACTCTGTGGGTTCACATTTTATACTGACATCCAGCCTCAGGAGACAGAAAGGTTAAGCGAGAGAAAGAGAGAAGGAGAGAAAATTTAATATATTTTTATTCGGAAAAACAATTGTACCATTTTGCTGTTCAACAAACAAAATACAGCTGCAACTTATATTGTTTAGAATAACCATATTATACTACATTGTAGCCATATTATAACTTATGTGGTATTTCAATTTTTATACAATTTTCATTTTCTGTAAATGCCAAAAACTGAGGGAAAAAAATCCACATCAGTTATGATCAGTAAAGTGTTTGTGTTTCATGGTTAATAACTGACTTCTGCTCTGGTGAATTGGTCACTGGTTGTAGACTTTAAAGCTAGTTTCCTTTTTTGGGAATAAATCCTAGAATAGTTAACCAGCTAATTAAAGAAGGAGAGAAACAAAGAGAGAGGAATGTGGTGTTAAAAAGGAAAGTAAAGGAGAGAAAGAGACAAAGACAGGCTGCTACGTGCACGTTTTTCAGAAGGCCAACACTGGATCAGTATTTTTGCGTTTAATTCTCTATAGAAACACACGTGGCTGTAACAGTGACCCACAGTCCATGTCAAATTATCACTGAACACTTCTCTAATTTCTCAAGCCAAATATATTTGCCCAGTGGCAAATGGCAACAAATTTCTGCAGTTTTTTTTTTTTTTTTTTCTTTTAAACTTTAACGTTCTGTTGCTCGATGCTAGATGCTACAAGCATCAACGTCACTTGAATGATTAACAAAGACAGGGGTCTCGTGTCATGTGAAGCCAGGTCTAAAGGATTGATTGCTCTTTTGCTCCTTCTCATCGTCATCCTTTTTTTTTCTTCTTTCTCTAAATCTCTGCTCTCCTTCTGACCTGCTGTGCTGGGATTGAGTTGCTCACCATCAGGCTGGAATGTGTATCTCCAACCAGATGTGGGGAGGAACTGCTACGCGCGTTAACGCTTATTTTTTCTTTCACTCTCTCTCGACTTAATGTCGTTCCCTCTGCCTTCACCTAAATTATCCCCGCCGCCCTCCCATTTTTACCCAACTAACCATTTCCTACCTCCTCAATTCTCTCTTGTCTATTCATCATTCTAGTATTTTCCTTTTCATCCCCCTCCTCTCCATACATCTTCCCACTCTTTTCCTGGCTGTTTGAAGTGGTTCTTTTTCTGTGCTCCGTGGTATTAGCAAGTTGTGCTCCAACTGCAGTGGAATGCACCGGGTCCCAGATGTTGCAGGGACATCATCTGCCCCTACGCTCTGCCTCCACCACTCCTCCCATCCCCTCTTACCCCTCTCCTCCTGTGAAGTGGTTCTGATCATGTCCATTAGCCCAAGTGAGATGCTGACTCGGCTCTCGGCCCATTCCTGTGGTTCTGTTTCATGTCTAACATGAGAGCCCTGCACAGGCTCTGCTGTGGAAGAAAGGAAAAAACACACGGCTGACGTTCAGGTCCATTGCTCGCTGCTCCGACGGCAGCAGCGGTAGCTTCAAAGTGTGCTTGAGGCGAGGTCGTTCACCAACTCTGAAGTCTCCAGTCACTCCAGCTGTTCCTAAGCTGTCCGAGCTTGTGGCTCATGCACCTCTGACCTCTGTAGTAATGCTCTGGTGCTTTATGGTGTTACACACATGCTGACCTAAGACATGGTCACCCCTCACCCTCATCCACGTGGCTTCAGGACATGCAGCTAAAAATAAGCTGCAGCTCTACTCCGATAGAAAAGTAATTACTAATTTCACAACAAGGGTATTTAGTTGTTGTTGTTTACCTGCTGTCAGAGTGAAATCCATGATAGTTTTAGGTTTGTAGACTAGTAATTGTCTACTAGATATAAGAAATGTCTGTCATATTTGCAATACAAAGAGGGGAAAAAGAGAAAATACAAAGACAAAGTCATCTGTGCACAGCAACACAACACCATCAACTGACATTGACTGGTGGAGGCAACTTTATAGGATTTTCTGATTTTGGAGAACTTTTCATTCTCAACCTTGAATCAAGAGGCCCCTGGATTTGTCTGCTTTTTTTTTAACCAGATTCCTCTTCACACCCAGCTCTGTGACCTAGTGTGTCAACTATGGTGTTTATATTTCTATTTCATACACCCTTATTAAATATCACTGCACCCTTTGCCTGGTGCTGTCTTAAAATCCCCTCCTTTGCCAACGTGCAGTACTCCTGCTGCTGAAGAAAACCACAGCAGGTCCGGGGCTAATGAAGGCCTTGGGGTTAGGGCAGCCACAAGACCACCTGAGTCAACTAATCGACCTGACTGCTCTCATTAAAAGACCTTTCTCCTGCCATAAAACACTCTTAGAGGTCATGCAGGACTAGTTGCAGCCTCAAGTCAAAGGTGAAGTTTTGTCTAGCCTTGTTTTCAAGGGTTATTTCTTTCAGTTTAATGTTTTTTAAAGGGTTATTTTCCCTGCAGTTTGAGATAACCTCTAATGACCTGCTAAACATGGTAATGTCTTCTTTCACTGTAACTTTAGGGCTTGTTAAAAACTTGATGTTATAGTTGGAGAGGGAGTTGATGGTTTTAGTTCCAACATGCACGCTAAAGTGCTAACAGAGCGTCTCCTGCGCTTTCTGCTCGCCTTATCCTTTTCATCTGGTCCTTGTTTGTCATGGGGTGTCAAGGGTTTCCTGTTGTGGTGGGGGAGGTTTAAGAAACAGTTGGTTCGAACGTCAATCACCCATAGGCACACACTCATGCACTTATGCATATCAGCATTTTCTTTCCTAACTTGCAATAAATAACTTCAGTTTACAATCTGCAGCACGCTCTGCTCTGTTTGGTGTAAAATCGCAGACTGAACACAGATGTGTGTGATTGTTAGCAGTTCTTGGCTGTAAAAATGTGGAGCAGTCAACAAGATTTTTACATCAGCTTTAAGACCATAGACCGTGTAAAAAAAGGAACAGCGTCTGAAATACAATGTACAACATTATAACCCCCTCATATTGAGAAGTCCAATTTTTTGAAACCAGTGATGTCATTCTGGTCTTTTTCCTAGTCTTTAATTTGCATCTTTAGTGTGCAGCAGTCTTTTGCTGTACGTTCATATAGCATAGGTTTCCCTGACCTATTTTGAGTATCGCACATATTTATTTTAGTCTAGTCCACCAAACAAAAATATCACAAAATATAAGTTATGAAATACATTTCAATGTATTTCTCAGTATAAAACCTCTGCCTTTTACATTGAACACATCACTGATATACTCTCAGGAATTGAAGAAAGTTGTTGGTGTACTGTGGACTCTAAACTCATCCACTGTTTCTTTTTTCCTACTGTAGCACATTGTCAGCCCTGCAGTGACGCTGAGATACTTCTAGCAGTCTGTACCAGTGACTTTGGTGAGTAACAAAAGAACAGATATTTATTATTTCTAAAAAATAACACACAATTTTGTGATTGTTTTAATCAGTGTCTAAATCCTGTTATGTATATTGTCCTTTCCAGTTGCACGGGGCAAAATTAACAAGGTGGTGCAAGAGGAGGAACACTCTTCCATCACGGTGGAGATGAGTCGCCTCTACAGACAGAAGACCCAGGTCTTTGTGTCTGGAGGAGTAAGGGGACGCAGGTGGACTGGTCGCATTAAGATGTCCGTGCACTGTGGGGTGAGGTCTGGAGAGGGCGAGTTCCTCTTCACTGGGACAGTCAGGTTTGGGGAGGCCTGGATGGGCTGTGCCCCACGCTACAAAGACTTCCTCCGGTTGTATCAGGAGGCGCAACAGCAAGGGACCAACCCTTGCCATGTGGACACAGACTGACAGGGCTATTTCTGGGCCTCGCTTAAAAATAGGACAAGTCCTCGCTGGGTGATGACGAGAGCCGAGCCCGAATGATCATGAGAGGAAATGCTGTCAGACTTTTCCCTCAATTGCTGTTCTGTGAGTGTTTGGAGACAATGATTGAGCTCCTGAACGTTGCCAAGCAGCCTGTTAACCAGACTGTGTTCTCAGAGTCGAACATGATGCAGTGTGGAATGTGTTGGACTGCTTCTTTATTCGCAGACGAGGAGATTCCTAGGATTCTAAATGTAGCAGATGCCAGTTGGTTTTATTTGTATAAAATGTGAATGAATGCTGTATATTTTGAAGCTCTGCCTCCTTTGTAAAAAAAAAGCCTGATGTACAGTCCTGATGTTCTTTCTTATGATCAAAATGTAAAAAAATTAAAGCCTCCTATTTTTTATTTTTGTTTAAAAAATGATCCACGTTTTAATGAGTGGATTGATTGTGCAGTATGTGCTGCGCAATTGTTTAAAAAAAGAGACAAAAAGCGATAAGCAAAACATCTCTTTGCGCTTGAAGAATAAACGCTTATTCTGTTGAATTGTGTCTGCAGTGTTATCGCCACAATAACACTCTTCTGATGATGAGCATTGAGACTGGGCAATGCAACAAAAGGAGATGAGAACTAGCCAATCAAAACAGACTGGGTTGGGTCATCCTGCTGTTGTTGCTGGATGCTGCAACCAAGCAAACTACATAACTTTCCAAATCATTCCAAAGAAACTGACACCTCTAGGGGTCAATGTTTTTAAGCAAATTTAGAAAAATTAAATATGCTCCAAAATGTTCCTAAAAAGTTTTTTTAATAATTATTATTTTAAATTCATTCAAGTTTCTCTAGGTAAATCAAAAAAAACCCAACAGTTTTTGGCTCCAGACAACACTATATTATTCACAGCGTGGCTAATGGATTTTCTTTTTTCATATTTCTTGGAATCAGAACATCATATGATGTGCATTTTCCACCTCTTTACGCAGCACCCTGTGCCAGGCATACTGAGATTGATATCAGAGAGTCAGGGGTGGATTCCTCCTCACCGGTTCCTGTGGTGATGGGGGTGGCGGTGTGTCAAGGTCAACGTGAAAAGCGCCTTTGTTTCCTCACAGCAGCCTGGTATGGGAGAGACGACCGAAGACAGATCTGAATTCAGTCCTGTGACTGGGCACGCAGCAGAGAGCAGCGCTCTCCAACCACACTCACCATTTTGATTGGCAGGAACAATTTTGCACGACCACCCTGTTTTAATAAAACCTTTTCTTATTTTCATCACCTTAAATAAAACACAGAGAACCAGGCAGGTCGTTGGAATTCACAGCAGATGCAGACTGGTATGCATTTAAATGACATTTAGGACCAGGTCTGGCTTCTTATTGGCTGCCTCCTTGTATGCATCAAGAATGCCTTTCAATAAATCGCCCCACGTTGACAATCTCTCTTTCAGACAGCACTGTGCATTAAATTAAATGTCCAAATTCCAGCTGAAAGCCAGCCATCCCAGAATTGTTCAGTGGGAAATGCAAACAGAGTATCTATGGTAACAATGCCTCACTGTGAACCGTCTGGCTTTGGCTTTAAGATTAGGAACCTCAGATGAAGATGAGGAGGAGGAGGAGGAGGAGGGGCGATGACGCGTGGTGCTTGGCTGAAGGTGTTCTTCTTTTCTTCTTCTTAAACATTGTAATTATAGCAACTTCTGACAGAGCAGGAGGTTCTTTAAAGCAGTGATTCTCAACTAGTGGGTCGTGACCTAAAAGTGTCAAAAGTTTACAGTGTGTCACTGGCCTTTGCCAAGGCAAAAAATAAATTATGAAAAATAAGCAGTAAGGGCATATTCACACTACTTAAAAGTAGATGGTGATAATGTAAGTGGACCCAACATTTCACATCATAGAAGAAGACTATCGATGTATATGAATTGAGCATGGCTAAACGAAGCTACAACACAGAATGTGTGTATTGGATTTTTCTTTTATTGAGGACAAAGGAGGACAATGAGAAGGTTCACCGTTGGGCAGTGGTGTTGTTAGAAGTACTACGTAAACAGAGAAATACTTACCTGCTGTAGGTTAGGAGTGAGTGGAGGAGAGGAGTTCTGTAGAAGAGAGGTGGACTAGTAATCTCAGTCACTGACGAACTGTAACTAAACCTCAGTTTGAAATGAACCCTTTTCACGTGGATTACAGGCTGTCTGTTGAGTGCATACTACAGTATATACATCATTTGCACTAAGTTATGATGTCATTTGGTTGATTTTGGTGTGTGTTCCAATTGAACAGGACCAGTCTGAACCAGACTTGAAGATGTGGAATCCTTGAGCTGCCAATGTAAATCACTGAGAATCCATTTCATGGTCATTTTTGTGGATGGAATTTTTTTTAAAAAGAGAGAGAGAAAAAAATATGAAGTTGAAAAAGTTGTAGTCAAGGCAATGTGTAGTCAAGGCAACCCCAACAGAGACAAGAGGCCTGAGCGCTAAAAGTAGTGGCTAATATTTTACGCCTCTCTGGGAAGTGCAGGAATGTGGGGAATGTGTTGACTTCAACACTCACTCTCACACACACAGACACAAACACGCGTGTGCAGCTTCCCCCCATGCTGCTGCCTTGATTAGCTAGAATCAATAGAGTCTCTGTGGTTGTCTGAGTGTTTGTGCGTCTGTACTTGTCTGTGGCCCTTACATCAACACACATTTACACTCAGCCTCCTTCACACTGAGCTGCGTCTTCCGGCAGCTGCAGGCTGGACACGTTCAAATGTGGTTTAATAATTAAACATTTCCCCAGGAAATGTTTTTAGTTTATTTTTAATGAGATTGGAAATGACAGGATCCGGCTGTCCTCATTTTTATCATTGATTATAAGGAAGCAGATTCTACTCTGAAGTTATTTCATTTCCACTGGTCAAATTATATTAGATGGATGGACAAAGACACCACTGTCTTGTCTATAGCTGGACCTGTGACTACAAGGCTTATGGGATCTGCTGTATACTGAACAGTAACATTGGCACAGTATTGTGTTAGTGGTATCATAATAATGATATTGATGTACACAGAGCAAGTAGTTTAGGATGGAAGAACGGATTTATCAAACAGCAAGTAATATATACATACATACATACATATATATTACACATATATATGTATATATTACATATATGTATGTATATGTTTATATGTATATATACATATATATGTAAAAGCTAATGAGTTTTCAAAAGTAATTCAGAAAATTGTGCATAACTAAAACCACAATTGTATATCTTTCTTTTTGCTGGTCCAGTATTTCCCTGTGTTAATCAGTGTTATCAGACTCACCTGTGTCCTGTGATCACATACCTGCTCATCAGTCTCACTCCTGTCACCTGGTGCCCTGGCTCTAGATACCTCTTTCACTCACTCAGTCTCGTTGGTCAGTGTATGTTGGTTATAGCGCGCCAGTCAAGGTTGGTTGACTGTTATCCTGCACTGGAGGTATTTAAGTCGGACTTATTTATTAATAAACTTCCTGAAACTGATCCTTTCTCTCGAGTGCTGAACCTCAGGCCCTGGTCAGTAAATAGTCATGCAGTATAGTGTACAGTACAGACCCAAAGGCTGAATGTATGAAAAAAACCCTCAGGTCTATCTAAAATGAAGTATCTAATAGTTACCCCAAAACATAGCTTAGCCACAGCCACCACTAGCTGCACTGGCTAGAGTAGTTTTAAGAAGTATTTGTATTTAATAAATAGAACAAATGCATTGGAGCATTTCCAAAGTTCCCTTTGAACATCTTTGCCAGAAGGAAAAGGTATTTCAATTTTTATTTTAAAATAAAAGTTTGAGCTTTGAATACCATGAGATGTGCAGTCAGCAAACGTCACAATCAACCAGTACTTCAGTGATTCATGCTGCATCAGTCACTGAGGTCTGTCAGTCTGCACTGACTGACATTTCCTTCTCAGACTTAACCACATTAGAATCCACAGTTGGCCCAGGTATAAAAAGGAGAGTTGTACATTTTTATTTACTTTGACAAAGACATCGCTACATTTCTGTAATGATTTTCTCTTAATTTTAGACGTGGTGTCACAAAAGGGCATCATGCCAATACGGAGCCTTCCAGAATGCTCATTAATCCCCAGTGGCTCGTGAATCTCTAAAATCCTCAGCGCCTCCTCTTCTTCCTCCTCCTCGGCTGCAGTGGTATGACAGGATTAGGAGCCGGGGTGTTAGGTGTCCTCTAGCAAAATGTGATTTTAAGGTCACAGCGTGAACCTGCATGTGTCAGTATCAGGTATCAAAGGGGATCATGGGAATTGAGAAAATGGGTTGAGAGTGAATTAGAGCAGACTACGATGAATACACTCTGGTCATTGGCTGGTCTTTTCTCCTGGTGTTTTGTTGATGATGGTCGCCCTGCGTTTGTCAAAATGTCTGACATCAATCCTGTCACTCACAGAGATGTTTTGCTGGTTTAAAACAACAAGACCTTTGACCTTTGAACAAACTTCATTTTTTTTGCTTGAGGTTGATTCATGGCTAATCCTTACCATACTACAGTACCTGACTTTGTGTTGCCATCAGTCACTCTCTCCATGTTTCTGTCTTGTGTATTTCTCCACACATTTCTTTCTGACACAGTAATGGTGATTTAAACCAAAGAGTCAAACTTGGACTCCTTATCATCCTTATTTTTACAATACCTTAGTCCATCGATCATTGGTCTAGTTGTTGTGTAACCTGTTCTTAGTCACCTTTTGTCATCATTTGGCTATGCTGCATCCTTTCACTTTCAACATGGTTAATAAAATATAAAGAGCAGATGAATGAGGAGCCAAATGCATTTCTTGGATTTCTTCATTTCAGGGAAGACATTAAAACGATACACATCATTATTTGTCAACTCTTCTTGGTCATTTTTCACTTTTCTTTTTGTTTTAAATTTCACTAAATGGAATCACTATGTTGGTAAATATTCAGTTTATTTTTAAAGACTACAGGACAATTTCTTCAGGTTATATCTGTACTGGTATATTAAGCTCTTTCAGAGTAAACCACGAAGCAACTGAAGACCTATGCAAACCACTTTGTTTTGGCCTAAGTCTGAGTCTAAGTATATGTTTTTAAGTGGTGATTTGCTGCGGCAGTCTGCTCCAACAAGGCTGCGTTTAATACTTTTGTTGAACATCGTTCTCTTTTCTCCGCCAGTGTGTGTCTGCTGTCAGCTCACATGGCTCCCAGAGGCCGTGCTGGGGTGACTCGGTTCTTCTGCAAACACACCAATGTCCTTCTGAAGCAGGGGGGCATCTACTGGGAACCGAGAGAAACCCCAGTCCCCCCCGCACCTCCAGCACCCCCAAAGCTCAGCAGTCCAATAATGGAGCAGAGCTTGGCTCAGAGGATGTCAAGCAAACACGATGCAAATAGAACTTTTTATTTACTGGCCCTCACATTCCCCTCCCCCAACCTTCAGCCTTCATTTCCTGGGAGCCACGGTGCCATTTGCAGGGGCCCCATGGCAACAGCGAGACTCTTCAATGAGAAGGAGGTTGGGGGAGGTGAAGTTTCTCATGATGTCACCAAATCATGTTGCTAAAGATGAAACTCTGTGTTGAAATGCACCAGTATTAAATTTAACTTTTTATTCCTGAGAACTTTATGTTGTAACGTTTGAGTTTTGAATTGGAAGCAGACACTTTGAGAGTGAAGCAGTGGTTGGGTTCTACAGAATCCGATTTGGTTTTACAATCACTCTTTTGTTAATGATCCAAGACAGATATCATCAACTAATCTCAATAACAAAAGTGGGTTCTGCTGCAGTTCTCTCCACTTCGTCATGGCTTCATATCCACCTCTCTGTCATTCATCAACGCTGCTTGTCTTATTATAATGATACAATCTGGTTTCGTCTGCTCTCAGACCTGTCACATTTGTGTTGCGTGCAGCAGATCTGCTGTTCGCACAGACCAATAAACACCACCAATTTTGCCGTGTTGTGGACCCCTCCCTGGCAACCAGACCCCCCCCATCCCTGACCTCTGACCAAGGCTGTGGCCCTTTCACGGCAGTGGAAAAAAAGGGTTTGTCTCTAAATTCAGCCATCAGATTCAGGAGGAGAGACAGGGACGTGCCCTCTAGCCTTTGAAAGGAAGTCCACGTCTATGGGCGTTGTGGGAACCACAGAGATGATCGGTCGATGGCGGAGCAAGTGCATGAGCGTGATGGATCGTGTAATTGGTGTTTGAAGAATGTCTTAATGAGGAGCATAATAGGCCATTTGATGGATAGGTAGGAAGCCAACACTTAGATTCTGCATTCAGAAGCGGATGTGAGCTGTTTGCTTTGGTGACACGGGGTGATTGATCGATTCTTGAGGCTCAAGGGCTGGGCCCAAAAAAATGGTTTTGATGCAAAAGGAACAGCTGGAGTTCTGCAGTTGGAGATCAAATGGTAGCACGATCATCGTTGGAAACATAAAAAAATTAAACGTAAAAACAAATAACGTAAAATTGAGGTTAAAGTCAGTGTACTTTATAAAGTACAACTGACATTGTGGTTCCGTTACAAGTTCAAAAGTTGTATGTCCTTCTGGATTTCTTAAAAAGGTAAAAAAAAATAATTTTGGGATTAAAATCAAAGGGATTAATTTATTTAACTTTTTATTTATAATTGCCTCTAATCTTTTCTGTAAATGTTATGACCTCATCAGTAGTTAAATATTTAATACTACACTTCAAAGACAAAGGCTTATAGTCATGTAGTGTGCAGGTAATTACAACAGAATACAAATTTCTTTTAAAAAGTAGTCAAAGTTACCAAGTAAAGTAAGTAAGTTACCAGTAAAAAGTTACCAAAACAAGTTCAAGTTTCACAAGGAAAGGGCAAAGCTAAGCTAACCTAAGCTAACTGATCAATAAACTGCAAGGGGAAACAAAACAATCTTAGGAAAATAATACTTTGAATAACAATATTTTTTTTTCTATTACTCATACTATCTGTAAAATACACCCCCGCCTCGCCCCTCACTTCAGTCTGAGCTACAGCAACAGTTATGAAGAGGACATGTGCTGAGAACAGCTGAGCAGTCAGCTGGGAAATGGCTGAGTCCAGGGAAAGTAGATCTGCCCAGGATCACACACTGATGGGTGTGTTTGTGTGTGTGTAGCTGTTTGACATAGTGACTCAGCACAGGTGACAGTCGGTGACCCTGAGTGAGAGGTCAGGACTGGGGTATGTTGCTGAAGTCCTGCCTACATGTGTGAAAGGACAACTGGTTTAATTAATCAACTCCAGACGCCATGATCAATCAGTCAAACTTTAATTAAACCTCCAGTGATAAATACATGGTTGATCCTCCTACAGCCACACTGGAACCCTGTTACTTTCTCTCTCTGTGTTTTCAGCCTCACTCATAACTGACCTGGTGTTGGGGAAATCGTCTGCTCTTGTTGCCCCACAGTTGCATCACAATCACCCTGCTGCAGTCTGGGGAGAAGAGCATTTTTTGGGATGACATAATGAGCAGGAATATCTCCGCTCAGCTGTGGAATGTTTAAAATGTCAGAGCGGGGAAAGCAGCAAGTGTTGTGATGAGGAGCAGCACAGAATGCTGACACTGAATTTTCATTCTTTTTTTTTTTTCTCCTTCCTTTCCTCCAGTTCTTGATAACTGTGACAGGAGATCATCTCCCCTCTGTTATTCTTCTCCGGCTGCTGTTTTTGCTTCTTGGCTCCAGGGTCGGCAAACACTTGAAGAAATCAATGTTTTTGGAAAACAATTAAAGACATGATAGAGTGGTCATTGCTGTTGCTTAAAAATATCCCAGGTGTGATTCTGGGATTCTGGGTGGTAACTGATGGTCTCTTTGAATGGAGGTGACATGTTCTCTTACCTCTGTGTGTGTGTGTGTTCAATATCTATATGTATATATTTTTACAGCTTTCTATATTTAGGCTTTCTAAGAGCGTGATGATTTATTTTATTTTAAGCAAAGGACCTCCTTGTTGGTGTTTAATATAATACCCTGTCTTGATATAAGACAAAAGTCCACATAAAAAATTTCAAAATACGATATCTGGTGCTCACACCTTACTACATTATGTTTGAGAGTACAGTACAGTAGAGTAAAGTTTTTTAATGTTATTTTACAACTGCAGAAAGTTACAAAACACAACATTGACAGTGAATCCAAACAACAACTCCATCTAAAGGCAAATGTTGGACTTCCAGTAAATCTGCTTGTAAATCCAAAACAATTGACTTAATGATTTTTAAATAATGATACTTAGTATCAGAGTACAATACAGTATGCGTGATTTGTTCCCAACCCATTTTGTTGTAGTTAATGGTTGGCAAATGTTTGTCCCACTGAGTAGGACGCTTTGCCTTCCTTTCCCTGGCAAATAGTGTCCCCTTCAGGAAGACTTGTTACATGACGCCTCACTTCTGCATTAGGTTAAACAAATGACAACAACCCCAAACCGAAGCCAAAATAGAGTATCACAGCCATCACAGAAAACAAGCTCAATTAAAAAGAAATCCTAAGTACTAATACTGAGAGGGTCTAAACATGAGGCTCGTGTCATGACCACTGATACAGACTTGAACAGACTTGTTGTCCATGCTCTGGTTGGTTATAATCAGCCCCCTGTAATTGAAACATAATGCATTCCATCACAGGTAAATAAACATGATGATGATACAGAAAACTTTTAATTGCCCTTTGCTCCATGGACAACAGTGAACCCCAAAGAATGAAACCCTACTCCTACTCTCTAGTGAGAGGGATTTGACCCAGCGTGTACTCATCGGTGTATCAACAAGAGTTAGATTTCCGTTGAAGGTTTCATAGCAAATTTGGAAAGAAAACAAGAGTCCAACAGATCCTGGAGTTCATGATGCCCACTAAGACATACAGTGTTGTAATAACAGCTGTCCCTCCATCAGAGTCCTGTGAGATTGTGTTCTGTTTATTAGCTGAAGCCGATCAGAAAAAAGTGAGAAGTTAGTGAGTTACTGTAGTTAGTGGTATTTTTAATTATCCTCGAAATTCTACAAAAGAAAAAATTGTGAAAAAACAGCTGAAACTAAGAACACAAACAAGAAGCCTCGTGGATGAGAGGTGAAACGTCCTTAAAAAATCTACTTCGTCTAGTTGCCCTCGATGTAACTTGTTTTGGATTAAATGACCTGGATGACTGAGAACCTACAGAGACATAAACCTGTCTGTGGTGAGATAAAGAGTTAACAGGTTTGACAGCACAAACAGGCGGTTATAAATTAACTGACATTCAGACCCACACTATCTTTACAAAGGGCACATTACGACAGCTGACCGACAGGTTCACTCAGATGACACTCATGCTTCCTTCAGTGCTCAGGTCCTGTTCTCCCAGGTTCAGATTCTGGAGACTTCAGTGCAGCTCAAGTTTCCACCAGGAACGTCGGTAAGAAAATCATCTTTTTTTTTCCAAAAGCCAATGTTTTAATTGATTACACATTATGAGAAGGTGTAAATATATACATATACAACTTCAGGATCAAATGGTTGCAGAGAGTCTACTGAATGATTTGGATTACACACAGCCAATGAAATGTGACCCCTGCAATGTAAGCAGGGGGGCAGCTATGGTGCCCGGGGAGCAGTGTGTGGGCACCGTGCCGTGTTCAGAGCACCTCAGTGGCAACTTGGACTTCAACCTGAAACCTTTCGGACCCAAGTCCACTTCCTTAACCACCCAGCACCACTGCCACCAGCACTGATTTTAAATCAGTCCAAAATGATCAACAAACTTCTGATGCAGAGAGCTTTAATTACAGCCTCTGTGGAGGCAACGCAAGGAATGGATCTATTTGTTGATATTTGTTGATTTCTGTCTTCAGATCTAGGTCTCTACATGTGGACAGTCGTCCCCAAAACCCCTCCCTGACCACCAGTTATGTCCACGGCACCTCCTCTGTTCCCCTGCTTCCTCTGACTGTGGGTCAGAGCCTGGACAGGACAGTGGAGAGATGGCCTGACCGTGAGGCTGTGGTCTTCCCTCAGGATGGAACCAGAAAAACCTTTGCACAGTTTCAACAAGATGTGAGTTTCTGACTTTGAGCCAGTCAGATTGAAAATGTTACTGGTCACCTGTTTTAGATTTAGGAGGATTGATTAAAAAAACCCTGATTATGACCCAAATATTCTTGTTCTTGTCTTCTCACATTAGAATATATCTGTTGAGATTCCTCTGTAAAAAACCTTTCACCTTTACTAACACAGGTTGACCAGGCAGCTGCAGGTCTCCTCGCTCTGGGCCTAAAACGGGGCGACCGACTGGGACTGTGGGGGCCCAACAATTATGAATGGATCCTTTTCCAGTTTGCTATGGCCAAAGCTGGAATTGTAATGGTCAGTCCAGGAGAAAATCTATTTTGTTTCAATTTCACCCCTCTGCAGGTGTCCCACAGTCTCAGGGGAGATGAATCACCATAACTTTATCATTAACATCTTTAACATCAGTAATTTAGTGATATGTTGACCAGTTCACAGAGTGTGAATGTGTATGTTGCTGTCCATGCAGGTGTCACTGAATCCGGCCTATCAAGTGAAGGAGGTGGAGTTCACCTTAAAAAAGGTAAATGTATGCCCTTTGTTCTGTTGAGGTTGAATCCACTCACATTATTTACATTTGTGTACACTTTAACCACAAAAATTGCAAAGTCACTGCAGCTTGAAACTGAATGAAAGCTGTGGATGTGCGTGGAGATGAACTGGATGACTCTGAATATAAGGTTCATATTCTCCAGGTCCAGTGTAAGGCAGTGCTCTGTCCAACTCACTTCAAAAGCCAGAAGTTCTGTGAGATGCTGAAGGAGATCTGCCCAGAGATTGAGTCGTCAACAGGGGGCGTCATACAAAGTTCCAGGTTAGGGTCTTTGTATTTTCTCCTGCCATCATGAATGTGAATAAAATAAATGCTGTAGGTTCAACGTCTTCTGTGTTTGAAATACATTCCTCAACACTCCCTCTGTTCTCCAGGCTGCCAGACCTGCACATGGTGATTGTGATGGACAGCAGACAGTCAGGGATGCTCCACGTGGACGATGTGATGCAGGCGGCAGAGAGTCGCCATCACAGAGAGCTGATGGACCTACAGAGCAGGCTGTCATGTGACGATCCCATCAACATTCAGTTCACATCGGTTAAGTATCTAGTCTTTTATATGTTTCAAGAAAATGAAACTGAACTGTACTATACAATACAGCCTTTTCTACATCTTGGGGTCGCAACTCCACGTGAGGTCATCTGGAATTCAAATAGGGTCACTTGAAATGACTAGTAATTGATAAAAAAAAATACTGATAAAATATTTTGAACTAATATATAAAATGATATATTTGAACAATCATTTTAAAGTTATGAATGACAAAACATCAAATAGAATGCAATATATAAAAATATCTGAGCTGATGCATCGTGACTGACAGCTGCGATCACATGAATATACCACCTTGTGCCACTTTAGGGGACCGTCCCCACTTTGAGAACACACTCCTTATCCTGTCATTATTTATTGTCCCTAATTAAGTAAACTTATTTTTCTGTACTATACAGTACCAGAACCTTATTTTACAAAACGATACCTGATCTAAACATATTATAACACACAGTTCCCAAACTCAGCATACTGACCTGTACCACACCTAACCATGAAGTATTGATCATGTTTTCACCTTTAGGGTACAACAGGGAATCCAAAAGGAGCGGTCCTCTCCCATCACAATATTGTCAATAATGTGTACTTCATGGGTCAACGAGTGGGTTACACATCCAAAGTAAGATTTTTTTTTTTTGGGTTTTTTTCTGCTCATTTGATGAAAATTAGCAGGAACATTTTTTTCGAGTTAACATGCGTTGTGCCTTTCATCAGCCAAATGTGAGAGTGTGTACTCCTGTGCCGATGTTCCACTGCTTTGGCTCAGTGCTTGGTGGTGTGAGTATGGCTGTGAATGGCATCACACTCGTATTTCCTGGTTCTGCCTATAACCCCAAAGCCATTCTGCAATCCATTGGGAGTGAAAAGTACAACAAAATACAGCCAATCAGCATGATTTTAAAATATCAAATCTGGTATATTTCCTCTTTATTTACCGAATTCTTCCTTTAGGTGCAACTTCCTGTATGGCACACCTACAATGTACATTGATCTGCTCAGTCAACCAGATTTACATAAATATGATTTGTCATCACTTGAGTCTGGTAAAATATTCCTGGGGTTTAACGAATAACAAATATTTCTGAGACGCAATGCCACAGTTACAGCTTTCCCTTTTTTTTTTTTTTTTTTTTTTTTTGTGTTCCAGGGATCATGGGCGGAGCTTCATGTCCTGCTGATGTTGTGAAGAAACTGAGGACAGACATGAACATGACCGAGATCATTGTAGGTTTTTAGATGGCTCTATTTCTTACCACTCAACCAGAATCAGAAGTAAAACACATTCAACCTCATCACCCACAATAAGCTGTATTTAAACCAGTGTAACTAACATTTATATATGTTCTACAGTTAGCTTACGGATCCACTGAGAATAGTCCAGTTGTGTTCCTGGGATTTCCAGAAGACAACGATGAGCTGAAGATAAACACGGCTGGATGTGTCATGGCTCACACTGAGGTACAGTGTGCCGTGTGCATCAACAATCATGATCTACACATCGCCTCTATGTGACATACAGTGTGACTGTATATGTAAAGGCTAAAGTGGTGGATCCAAACAACGGGATGACGGTTCCTCTGGGTGAACCAGGAGAACTGATGATCAGAGGAGCCTGTGTCATGCTTGGTTACTGGGACGATCCAGAGAAGACCAGAGAGGCTATCACCGAGAGTCGATGGTACAAGACTGGGTAAGATGAAAGATTACTGAGAAGTTGCTCATAACTCGTTTTCCTATGTGTTAGTACGTTAAACATGTTTTGTGGTTTCACACAGGGACACTGCCACTCTGAACAGTCTGGGATACTGCCAAATTGTAGGTCGTATCAAGGACATGATCATCCGTGGAGGAGAGAACATCTACCCTGCTGAGATAGAGCAGTTTCTCTATACACATCCCAAAGTGCAGGAGGTGCAGGTAAGAGTTTGAATCTGTAGAGGGCAGCAAAGCGCCGCTGGTTTATTGATTTGAAATTTAACAATAATCAGCTCTTTGTCTGATTCCCAGGTGGTGGGGGTGAAGGATGAGAGGCTGGGTGAGCAGGTCTGTGCCTGCATCAGGCTGAAGGAGGGTCAGAGCTGCAGTACAGAGGAGATTAGAGACTTCTGTAAAGGACAGGTGAGAGTAGATGGTGAACAGAACCACAGACAACCTGCCTGTAAATGTATGTTAGACTGAACCACAAAAGTGGCACTAACTGATATTTTGGGGTTTTCTTTTTTGTTTTGTTTTGTTTGTTTGTTTGTTTTTCTAGATTTCCCATTTCAAAATCCCACAGTTCGTGGTCTTTGTAGACAGCTTCCCCCTGACTGATTCTGGAAAGGTAACTTATGCTCCAATTACAAAAAGATAAATATTTATAATCCTAATGACAATTATTGCACATGAAACTAAAATAACTTTATTTTTTCGCTTCTTACAGATCAAGAAAAATGTACTCAAGCAGGACATTGAGAAGATTCTGGGACTTTAATTTGACTTACACCAACGCCACCTGCTGGAGACAAATAGGTCTGAGTGAAAACAGGAAAAGAACATATCTATGATATAACATATCTATAAAATTTGGACAATTTGCGTAAAAATAAGAATTTGTTTAATAATTAAAATGTTTTTATCTACATATGCATGTATATTTTTTTATATGCAGTATATATTGATGAAACTAGTTAAATGCTAAAATTAGGGCCTATTAAGAATGTATGGTTTGGTAAAGGTTTTATGATGGTGAGACTAATTTATTGTTTCTGTTTTGTTAGCTTCTTCTCTTTCAGTTGGTGTTTGTTCATATGTGGATTTGTGTGTGTTCTGTCCTTTAACTGGTGGGCTGGTCACTTTCAGTGTTATCTTGAGAGGAGGGTCAAAGTGGCTGAGAACATGTTGTATAAGTGATCTAGGTTAAACATTAGATCTACTTCTCACAAATTCTGGTAAAACTACACTGGAGCCTTTATTCAGTCATTTGTTTTAAGCTAAATAAGAAGGTTTTTTTTTTTCATTTTTAGTGAGACAAATGTATCCATAGTTGTCTACAACACAATCCAATTCCCAAAGTTACACTGAAGAGTTTATGCAAGTAACAGTCTGTGTAGTTTCTTAATCATCAGGTAAACATGTGTGAAGTGGGGACACATGATAGATCATTTTGTTACTTTTTGTGTAGAGATTGCATTAAATTGACTGCTCACATTACAGTGATTATGGCTGGGTATAAAATGGGTTTTAGTGTTTGTGTAAATATAATGAACCAGACTGTCCTGGTTGACTTGTTTCAATAATGCTATCACATGTGCTTAAGATGGCTGTCACAACACCGCCCCAATGACTTTTTTTTGTTTTTTGGAAAAAATATGTCACTAAATTCAAAGTGCCACATTACAAAAACACCACCTTGACCAAAATATGACCGCCTCCCAAATATTGTACCACAAGTTTACGTAACAAAACCTTCGTTTTCTCCATGGGAGCCTATTAAACCGAGGGCGATAGATAAGCTAGAACCGCCCCTGTGAACACCTCTCCAAGTCTTCTTTTACTGACTTTTACACACTGCGGATCAGTCGTGTTCGTTGGGGCAATGGCAAAACTCGTTGCAAGTTTTTCTCCGTTGAGGTTCTGTGTCCACAAACTTAGACCAGTGGACGGACATAGACACCGCAGGAATGTGCTGCACGGCTGTCTGTAAGTGTTTGCTCTGATTATAAAATAACAACGCCCGTTTTCCTCTCTATATATTTTACTACTGTATCTCTCCTAACGTCACTAGTTGTTTAAAATGTTGCGCAGTTTTGTGCGCTTTAAAACGGATATGTTTCGAACTTCTGTCGCTCAGTAGATTCACTAGATTGTTATGTAAATATGAATGTTACCAAAATAGTATGCATGAGTGAAATGTCACGTTGCCATGAAATGCTTTTCAAATGTCAAATAAATTATATAAAAAAACGTTGTCTTTAGCTTCTGGTTCGCCTTTACAGTTCAAAATGTTGCCCAGGACAGTAGATGTATCCAATCGCAGGACCAGGGACCGTTCCTCGACGTGTGGTATTTGGTTATAGGCCACACAGAAAGAACTTTTTTTCCATGTTTTTTTTTTAATATATGTAAATCTACGTGGTGTCTTATTTTGAAAAACCTTCCACTCCTTTCCGTGTTTCGAGTTTTTTTAAACATAAGAACAGAAATTTACCCCATACTGCCTACATTAAAGGTTCATTTCAGAACCCCCCCCCCCTTCTCCCTATAAAATACAAATAAAACAAATAACTAACTATGAATATGTTTTACTGACATCCTTGTTAATTATTTCTCAGATCCCGCTCACTCCACGTGGACACTCCTCCTCAAAACCCCTCCCTGACCACCAGTTTTGTCCACGGCACCTCCTCCGTCTCACTGCTCCCTCTGACTGTGGGTCAGTGCCTGGACAGGACAGTGGAGCGACTTCCTGATCATGAGGCAGTGGTCTTCCGAGAGCAAGGCATCCGGAAAACCTTTGCGCAGCTTCAGCAAGATGTGCGTCTCAGAACTCTACAGTTTGAGGCTAAACACTAAAATGCGCCTTACAGATTAATCTAGTATTAAACAAGTTCTGTCTCTGTCACTCACCCCGTTATAGCCTCTGCTCTTTTAACTAAAGTTCTGCACATTACATTAAGAAGACAGCATGTAGGTGGACACAGGTTGGGTCCGACAGCTAAGCTCTTCCAAGATATGAGAGCAAAAGTTTTTGCATCAGACTCGTTTTCTAGCCAATAACCCTGAGGTGTCTTCTGTCTTCTGCTGATTAATTTTGTCATTAGGCTAAACTGACACAACAGTCAAGCTTAATAATTCCTTTACACAAAATGTTACTGAAATATTTAATGTATATATTTATTATATATTCAACATTATTGCAACTTGTAATTGTTGCAGTCTGCCCTGTCACCAATAGATGTCATTAACCACTACACTCTTGTCATTTAAAGTTTTACCTTGTTTTGCACTTCACTGTTAGCTTTACAAGAAGTGTTGCTGCGATTTTGACTTCCTTTGAATTGCATATATAACTCGATATTGAAATTCTTTTTTTTTAAATATATAATTATTTTATATAATTATAAGTATTTGTTTGTCCTTTACTAACACAGGTTGAACAGGCAGCTGCAGGTCTCCTCGCTCTGGGCCTAAAAAGGGGCGACAGACTGGGAGTTTGGGGACCAAACAGTTATGAATGGATCCTTTTCCAGTTTGCCTCAGCCAAGGCTGGAATTATAATGGTCAGTTCAATAATTGTTTCTATCCACCAGAGGTAAACAGGAGCATAAATGATGTTGCTGTTTTTAGGATTATGTAAAGTCTCTCTTCTTAGTGTTTCAAATGACAGCCCTGTTCTGTTCTGTTTATTGTTTAAGGTTTCACTGAACCCAGCCTATCAGCTGAAGGAGGTTGAGTTTACTTTGAAGAAGGTAAATAAGATTGCATTTTACTTATTTGCTTTTCTGTTCAAGTGCAGTTTACGTTATCACAATCACTCTCTTACTGACTAGACTCATAATATTTTTTTTTTAAAAAAGCTCATTTTACTTAAAATTACTTCAAGCTAAATGAATGTAAGAGTATCATTAAGACAAAGTGAAGTAGATAAAAAGTGAACCTGTTGTCTCCAGGTCCAGTGTAAGGCAGTCCTCTGTCCAACTCACTTCAAAAGCCAGAAGTTCTGTGAGATGCTGAAGGAGATCTGCCCAGAGATTGACTCGTCAACAGGGGGCGTCATACAAAGTTCCAGGTTAGGGTCTTTGTATTTTCTCCTGCCATCATGAATGTGAATAAAATAAATGCTGTAGGTTCAACGTCTTCTGTGTTTGAAATACATTCCTCAACACTCCCTCTGTTCTCCAGGCTGCCAGACCTGCACATGGTGATTGTGATGGACAGCAGACAGTCAGGGATGCTCCACGTGGACGATGTGATGCAGGCGGCAGAGAGTCGCCATCACAGAGAGCTGATGGATCTACAGAGCAGGCTGTCATGTGACGATCCCATCAACATTCAGTTCACATCGGTACCCGTCATGCTTTACCTGCATGCAGCTTTAGGTCTTTGTGACACTGATTAAATACATATCTACTCATCTTGGAAAAGTATTTAAAAAACTAAGAGGATGCACAATGCAATGATTAGCATGTAGCATGTGAAGCAGATATGTTTTCTCTGTTAGGGCACAACTGGTCATCCAAAGGGAGCAGCTCTTTCCCATTACAACATCGTCAATAACGCATATTTTACGGGCCTTCGTTTGGGTTACTCATCAAGAGTAAGTCTTCTTTTTGTCACTTGGTTTTACAGTGACATTCATCTTATCTGTTTCATCACCTTTTTTTTAAAATCAGCCCAAGGTACAAGTGTGTGTTCCTGTGCCTTTGTATCACTGCTTTGGCTGTGTGCTCGGCTCAATGACCATGGCAGTGCACGGCACCACCCTAGTGTTTCCCAGTACTGCATACAGTCCCGAGTCCAGTTTGGAGTCCGTTCACAGTGAAAGGTGCTGAGTTCAGATCCTTCATCCAGTTGACTTTCAAATATAATTTAATCATGATGTCGGTAATTGACTGCCACCTATTTGTTTCTGCTGAAGATGCAATTTCCTCTATGGCACCCCCACAATGTTCATCGATCTGCTTAACCATCCGAACTTACGTGAATTTGATGTGTCATCCCTTCAATCTGGTAAGATGCTCTAAAGGTTTACTTTTGCATCGCATCCGTACTGATCCAGAAAGAAAGTACAGCCAGTAGGTGGCAGCAAAGCTACCGGTAAAACCCCAGAGGAGAAAGTAAGTGGTTAGCAAGATTTGCTTAAGAAGACAGAGAAAAGACGCAGCATCGTAGCACAGGAATCTCTACGTAGAATCTTTTTGTGTTGAAGAAAGAAAATGTTATATACGTTGAGTAATACGTTATTTATCCAGTTTGTCAATACTGTTTAAACATTGTCATGGCACATTATGCTTTAGGACCAGTAGTCGTTCTGATATCTGACATCTCCCCTGTCTGTCTTGTTTCAGGGATCATGGCAGGTTCTCCGTGTCCTCCTGAGATTCTGGCAAAGCTGAAGACTGAGTTGAACTTGACAGAGATAGTTGTGAGTTTTTCTCCTGCATGTCTTTAACAATACCTGAGGTTGTTAAAATAATCTCACTTCATTTATAGTTAACAGCTTTCCGGTGTGTGTGTGCTCTCAGTCATCATTACAGGCTTTTAGAACCTGATTTAATGTCCGTCTGATCCATTTAGAGGAAAAAATAAATATGAATACACATCAAGAATGTAATTTGATACTACGTTTGAGGTTTTCTCTTAAGAGTGATTTTAAATTTACAACATTCATTTTTTTTCTTCAGAGAATTCTTTCTGCTAGGCTGATTTGCTGACCAAAAAGATGTGGCCTCAATATGATAAAATAGTATAAAACGTGTAAATGATGTTTCAACAGGCAGGTTATGGAACCACTGAGAATAGTCCAATTACATTTCTTGGATTTCCAGAAGACAGCGACGATCTGAAGATAAACACAGTTGGATGTATCACAGCCCACACTGAGGTATGTTCTCCATAACACACCTCCCTGTCACCACTGGGACTTACGGCATGACTGTATATGTAAAGGCTAAAGTGGTGGATCCAAACAACGGGATGACGGTTCCTCTGGGTGAACCAGGAGAACTGATGATCAGAGGAGCCTGTGTCATGCTTGGTTACTGGGACGATCCAGAGAAGACCAGAGAGGCTATCACCGAGAGTCGATGGTACAAGACTGGGTAAGATGAAAGATTACTGAGAAGTTGCTCATAACTCGTTTTCCTATGTGTTAGTACGTTAAACATGTTTTGTGGTTTCACACAGGGACACTGCCACTCTGAACAGTCTGGGATACTGCCAAATTGTAGGTCGTATCAAGGACATGATCATCCGTGGAGGAGAGAACATCTACCCTGCTGAGATAGAGCAGTTTCTCTATACACATCCCAAAGTGCAGGAGGTGCAGGTAAGAGTTTGAATCTGTAGAGGGCAGCAAAGCGCCGCTGGTTTATTGATTTGAAATTTAACAATAATCAGCTCTTTGTCTGATTCCCAGGTGGTGGGGGTGAAGGATGAGAGGCTGGGTGAGCAGGTCTGTGCCTGCATCAGGCTGAAGGAGGGTCAGAGCTGCAGTACAGAGGAGATTAGAGACTTCTGTAAAGGACAGGTGAGAGTAGATGGTGAACAGAACTTTACCATCAATCCTACTAGCTCCTTTCAACATTGTTTTTTATAGAACTGTATATGTGCTACGTTGATATCAAACACGTCTAATTGTCTTCAACCAAAGCAGGACAGCGCCACCTAATCCCTGTATTTTTAATTTTTCTTCTTTTTATTAGATTACTTATTTCAAAATCCCACACTATGTGGTATTTGTGGACAGCTACCCCATGACAGTTTCCAGAAAGGTGAGAGAAACACATTCAAGTCCCTGATATGGTGATTATAAATGTTTGATAAATTGCGTGTCTTTATAGATCAAGAAGAATGTGTTAAAGCAGGAAATGGAAGAGGAACTAGGCCTTTGACCAGACAGACACAGAGTTACTGAGGGGCTTGGCAGGAGCAGGAGACATACTGCATTTTGTACCACCAACTGAACTGTGAAAATGCTATTGCAATGTTGCTATTTTATTGGATTATTTACGTTTATTACATGATTATAATATTATGCATTATTCTTTATCTGTTTTTAAAAAATCATAATAACAATATGCATGTTGAAAAAATACAAATAATGAGCCCAAAAATTGCAGAAAAGTACAGTTATTATTTTTGGTTTATGGCATATTTTTGTGTTCTTTTATTTAATTTATCTTATGTTATCTGTCACCCTGTTTGGCCTGCAGCTGCCACCTTTTTTGAAGAGCATGGACTAGTTTCATCCACCAGTGCAAGTTCCTTGTGTTTAATAGTCTATGGTTGAATAACAACTCTGATAATGGTGCAGGAGACCAGTTTTCCTAGTTTCACCTTTGAAATCTCACTGAACTTTCATTTCACATGTGAGTTTTTTATTTTGTTTTACTGTTTTCAAAGTTCATTTGTGAAAACGCATCATATATTGACAATGCAAAACAGCGGCCTTCTCATTTAAAATAAAAAAAAGCAGCAAGACTTGCAGTGCAACGTAGTGACATCATCAGTCATGGGAGGACAAAGTGGGTGTCACACATTAAACCCAGGGAACCATTGGTCGGCTCAGCTGGCATCAATCTCACATTCCTTACAAAGCCAATGTTCAGTCACGCTGGATATAGAACAGATTCACAGAAGCTGACGCTGTGACCAATGTCAACAATCATTTCTTCTTCACTGCTGAGGTCCCATGTTCGAAGATTCACAGTCTTGAATGGACTTAAACGCAGCTCTGGTTGGCTCCAGGAGAGACGGTGAGTTTATCTTTGCTTGATTTTTATTCTAGTTATTTTTTTAACTTCTTTCTCTCATAACATTGTATCTCGTAATTTTAAACTCAGGACCAATTGTGTCATAATTGTGACTTTTGTTTAACAAGTATGACTTTACTTGTTGTTTTATTATCAAATATGTTAACATTTCAATTTTATATTTAATATGTTATGTTTTACGTCACCTTTAATGCCTTTTTCCACTTCTTATCTGAAATATTGTGTTTATTTTCTCTTATTGATAACCTTTTAGCTTACTGTGACAGATTCCTTTTTTATCACATATTGATTCCTTTTTGTTATACAGTTTGGATTTTATTCTCTCTAAATCATTAAGCTCATCACCTTACAATTTTTAATCTCATTATTTTAACATGCAGCTCTCTGAATTCTCTTTTTTATTGTGAAGAACCAGGTCCCTACATGTGGACAGTCCTCCTCAAAACCCCTCCCTAACCACCAGCTATGTCCACGGCACCTCCTCTGTCTCTCTGCTCCCTCTGACTGTGGGTCAGTGCCTGGACAGGACAGTGGAGCGATGGCCTGACCGTGAAGCCTTGGTCTTTTCTCAGGATGGCATCAGGAAGACCTTTGCACAGTTTCTTTGTGATGTGTGTTTCAGATTATGAGCTACTTTTGAGTGATAAAAAATGTAAATATGGCCCAAAAAAATATCAAAACTAGAAGACATTGTCAACAGTGATCCTCAGGCCACTCAAATTCAAGACCCCTGTTTTCGAGTTAGAAAAATTGAAAAGAAACGTCTGTTCTGTTTCTGACTTTGTTCTTGTTTACTGTTACAGGTTGACAAAGCAGCTGCAGGTCTCCTCGCTCTGGGTCTGAGGCCAGGAGACCGACTGGGACTGTGGGGGCCCAACAGTTATGAATGGATCCTTTTCCAGTTTGCCACGGCCAAAGCTGGAATCATAATGGTCCGTGCGTGTGCCATACTTGTCTTTAAAACTGCACTCAGTCTTGCTGCAAGTGTAACTGTGTGTGGTCAGAGACTCTGTCACTAAACATTGTCTGATATTACACACAGAGTGCTCGAGGTGAAGTTATGGAACTGGTTAGACAGAGTTCAAAGATCAGCTTTGTTACTGATTATGGAAGGCTGCAGAATAATCCACAGGATTTACAATTCACAGAACTATATCTGCAGACTATATCAATGTAGGAATAAAAACAGCTGACTAAAGATAGTAATGTACTGACTTGTGTACAGTGTTATGTAACATGTTTTTGTCTAATACTACTGTCCATGCAGGTTTCTTTAAACCCATCCTATCTAAAGCAGGAAGTGGAATTCACCTTAAACAAGGTATGGTTCCTGCACTGTGTTCTCTTCCAGTGTAATGCATAAATATGCATAAGTACCTGCAGTACTCATAAACTGCACTTTCTTTAACTAAGTATAATATTTAACAGATTATTAAATGTGTGTCCAGGTCCAGTGTAAGGCAGTGGTCTGTTCCACTTATTACAAAAACCAGGACCTCTGTGCGACCCTGAAGGAGATCTGCCCAGAAATCGACTCATCAACAGGTGGCGCCATTCAAAGCCCCAGGTCAGGATCCTTGTGTTTTGTCCTATATCATGAATTGAAATACACTAAATACCGTAGTTTTTGATGTATAACTAATGGTTTTCTGTGGGTGAAATTACTTTTTTCCCCCTCTGTTCTCCAGGCTGCCAGACCTGCACATGGTGATTGTGATGGACAGCAGACAGTCAGGGATGCTCCACGTGGACGATGTGATGCAGGCGGCAGAGAGTCGCCATCACAGAGAGCTGATGGACCTACAGAGCAGGCTGTCATGTGACGATCCCATCAACATTCAGTTCACATCGGTAAACGACCTCCATCATGTCCCTCTGATTTATATATAAACTGACAGATTATTACTTTGGAAATGTAATTAAAACATCCTGTTTTCTGTTTTAGGGAACGACTGGGAACCCAAAGGCAGCAGTTCTTTCACACCACGGTACAGTCAATAACTCCTACTTAGCAGGTCTCCGAATGGGTTATACAACAAGAGTAAGATATCTATGTCTCTTGTTTAAAAAAAAGAAAAAGAAAAAAGAAAGATCTCTGATTGTAAGCAAACTCTTGTTTTGTACTTTCAACCAGCCGCAGGTACGAGTGTGTGTCCCTCTGCCTATGTATCACATCTTTTGCTCCGTGACCGGAGGGCTGATGATGGGAGTACACGGTGTCACCCTCGTCTATCCCAGTTCTACATACAGTTCCAAAGCCAATTTGGAGTCCATTCAAAATGAAAGGTACACTGTTTACCTGAATGAATTTGAATCACACCTTGTTATCACCCTATGGCTCTCTCACTGCCAACTGTTTATTGTTCCCCAAGGTGCAATTTCCTGTATGGCACTCCTACAATGTTTATTGATCTGCTCGGCCAACCAGATTTACACAAATATGATGTGTCATCACTCCAGTCTGGTGAGAGGAACTACAGCAAGTCCTCTGGAATATGGTGTTGTGGTTCAACATTTAGGAATGTGGATCTATTGGCTGTTGTTCAGGGATCGTTTCTGGTGCTCTGTGTCCCCCTGAGATCGTGTCCAAACTGAAGACAGACTTAAACATGACTGACATAGTTGTAAGTTCTTGAGTTGTGCCTTGTAGGCATTTTACAAAAACAGCAATAAATCATAATGAAATCACAATGGAATGAAACCTGTCACTAATGTTATCCCAGGCGGCATATGGAATTACTGAAATCAGCACCTTTGGATTTCTTGGATTTCCAGAAGACAACAATGAGCTAAAAATAAACACGGCTGGATGTGTCATGGCTCACACTGAGGTACAGTTTGTTGCGTGCATCAACAATCATTAGTCACACATCACCTCCATGTCACTACTGTGACTGTATCGTATGACTGTGTGTAAAGGCTAAAGTGGTGGATCCTACCACCGGGATGACGGTTCCTCTGGGTGAACCAGGAGAACTGATGATCAGAGGAACCGGTGTCATGCTTGGTTACTGGGACGATCCAGAGAAGACCAGAGAGGCTATCACCGAGAGTCGATGGTACAAGACTGGGTAAGATGAAAGATTACTGAGAACTCACAACACCAAGAAGACTTAAAAACCCTTACATTCTGGAAGGTTCCTCAGTTATTATGTTGGTGACAGGTTTGAGTGTTACTCTTGGATATTGCTGCTGTTAATCCTTTGTTGTGTTGTTGTTAAAAGCAAAACTAGTTTTTAGTTACAGTGTATACATATATTCTTCTTTTAATTTCTCACAGGGACACTGCCACCCTGAACAGTCTGGGATACTGCCAAATTGTAGGTCGTATCAAGGACATGATCATCCGTGGAGGAGAGAACATCTACCCTGCTGAGATAGAGCAGTTTCTCTATACACATCCCAAAGTCCACGAGGTGCAGGTAAGAGCTTGATGCTATAGAGGCCAGCAGAGGGCCGCTGGTTATTGTTTATCTGCTTTTTATCTGATTCCCAGGTGGTGGGGGTGAAGGATGAGAGGCTGGGTGAGCAGGTCTGTGCCTGCATCAGGCTGAAGGAGGGTCAGAGCTGCAGTACAGAGGAGATTAGAGACTTCTGTAAAGGACAGGTGAGAGTAGATGCTGTCATTGACTCTCAGTGAACACACTGTGATGTGGACTGAAAGATTTGTTTCTTTGTACCTTTTTAGATGTCTCATTTCAAAATCCCCAAATATGTGGTCTTCATTGACAGCTTCCCCATGACTGTTTCTGGAAAGGTAATGTCTTCACTAGTGTTAATTATTGATTGATGACAATAATATTTATTCAGAAACAATGTCCATGCTCATATGTGTTGTTCTTTCAGATCAAGAAGAATATATTGAGGCAGGACATGGAGAAGAAACTGGGCCTGTAGTTGTATGGACTGTTTTTAAAAAGTTTTTTTAACCAATCCTAAACATTTTAATTGAAGAAGCACTGAAATTGTAATAGTTCAAAGAAAATCATTTTTTACAAAACATAGTTTGGTATGAAATTTGATTATATTCTTTGTAAATAAAACACATTTTGCTGCAAATTTGAAGAATGTGATCTGGTGGAATTGTGTTTAAAATAAAATAATATTACACCTACAATGACAGTTATATTAAGTATCCTTTATCTTTTGAAAATGTATTACTTTCATCCATTGTGTGGGAAAATTATAACTAATAAGTTTGCATTTAATTTCTATACTTACAGTATGTAACTGTAGTGTCTTTATTAATAATTTCTCAACATTTCAGCTGCCATATATCTAATTTTTAATTCTACAGTACTTTGACATATTGATATTAACAATAATAAAATCTGCGAATCACAGATTCACGCAATCAATAATCAATATATGTGTGAGGGCTGAAATATCTTAGAAATGCTATTAACACTTAAAAACCTTATATATTTCTAAAATGACGTCATTGTGTGCATTATGGAGCGTATGCGTTTGTTCACGTCTGCTGTTTGTCCTTCGCGGGCTACCGTGGTAGCTTCGGTTCACGCAAGGTATTCTGGGTAGGTCAGACGCCATGTGCTTTTGAAACCAGGGAACTGGACAGAGACCTGGCTGTGAGAAACTTGGCCTGTTTTTCAGAGGGTTCACGCTCCGGGAACGGTTTCTGTCTACGTTAATGATGTTGTGCAGCAGACGGTGCCTGAGGACCGCAATGCGGGCCGTGGCCACAACAACACATCGGTGCGTAACAAACTCACAGCGGTATCAGCCTGTCACTAACACCGGTGTAGCAGGGGTAACCGGGAACATCACTACCCCTGTGTCTGCTTCCTCAAGGGCAGACTGATACAGACTACTGCGGCAGTGTTTATGTGTTAAACATGTATCCGTTATGGCAGCTCGTGAAATGTACTGAGAGTGTGCATTAGCTGGGAATGTAGAGGAATATCATTTATTTAGTGACTAGGTTTAGTAAGTTAGCAATGTTAGCACTGTACCCAGTGGATTATAATAACCCTCACATGACCAAGTCCCCAAACTATACCGAAGCTGTTTTCTTAGTGAACACACAGCAGCATTTTTGTTTTCGCTCTTGGGGAAAATTATATTATAATAACAGTCCAATTGTGCTCCAATAAAAGGGCTACGTCTGACAGACAAGGTCATTCAATGGTTGATCAGTACAGTGGAATTCCTGTAGTGGTCCATCTTCTATCTGTCATTTGTCACGTGTGATCAAATAGAAATTTTCTTTTAACAGTGTAGATAACGTTGTACGCAATGGTTTTATTGCTACACTTAAAATGCTCAGGTACAATATTAAGGAAAATACTATTTGCACCTCTGTTACAATTAAATTATTTCAAAGTATTCTTATTCGTATCTTATTGTAAGTGCGTTATTGTGATATTATTTAAATGCAACTCCTTTACTGGAGTGGCATGTTGACAAATGATTCTTCCTTGTTGTTTAACTAGTTTTAGTCAAGCCAGTTATTGGCTCCCATTCTTCTCTGAGAATTGTATACATGTACACGACTTACATCACAAACAAACATAAATATATTTTTCTATTCTCAGTGATGCAGGGTCAATGTTGCGGTTGAGATATTTTCAAACTTTTAATTCTTAATTCTGCTTTCTTTAAAATAAAAAAGCTATAATGCAGGGTTTTTTAATTTCTTCAACCTAATTTTTTTATTTATTTTTTTGTGAAAATGAAAACAGACACATATTGTTATAAATGAAAGGTAATCTCGATAATGACTTAAAGCAGATTACCAGTGTTGACACTGTGGTCAGATTCAGCTCCTCTCTTTTTCTTTTCTACAGGCAGCAGCTTCAGAGGTCGACGCCGGCCTTGTGCGCTCTTAGACTCCTGAAGACCAGTCCAGCAACACATTCAGAGGCCCTCTCTACCCCTCAGTTAGACGGAGCGCCAAAAGAGTATTCCCCCAAAATCCAACAGCTTGTCAAAGACATAGCAGGTCTCACTTTGTTGGAGGTGTCAGATCTCAATGAGCTCCTCAAGGTTGGTGGAGAAACTGAGTTCATTACAAAACATGTTGCTGTGATTTTCTTATCATCCGTTTTTCTCTTTTACAGAAAACTCTGAACATTTCAGATGTTGGAATGATGCCAATGGGGGCCATGGCTGGATCCAACGCAGCTGCAGCTCAGGTTAAATCATCAGCATAATTATTTATAAACACCAGCAGCGCCGTGGATAAAATACTTTATAAATATCAAATGATAAACTCTTGACTGTTGATCAGTGCACAATTAGATGTGCTGTGTTTTCCCTCCTCTGAACACAGGCCGAAGAAGAGGAGGAGGCACCCGTGAAGAAAGAGAAGACTCACTTTATAGTAAAACTGACAGAGTTAAAAGCCGCAGACAAAGTCAAGCTTATAAAGGAAGTGAAGAACTGCATGCAAGGATTGAATCTGGTTCAGGTAAAATAACCTCTGCTGTTTAGTCCTGATATAAAGTGTTGTTTCAAAAGACTGTGTGCATTTAGCTGTCTTTACATCGAGGTCAGGGATTAGCAGGGTCGCAAACAGATGCTTTTTTTTTACGACCCTACAGTAAATATAACAGTTTTGCATTTTCTTCTCATAAAATGTCCCTTTAGGCATCTGTAGGAAGGGTTGTCACAGCCCTTATATGCAGAAAGTTAAATATTTGTGAACAAGTTAATTGCTTGAAGCCAGTGTCTCATTGTAATTAAGGAAAACAAGTTAGAAGGGTGGTCTGTTTTGGCACTGTGCATCCCCTCAGTTCCAACATTTGGCTCAAGTCTCTACTTTTACTTTCTTTTTTGTCTTCTCCAAAACAGGCCAAGAAATTAGTAGAGACTCTTCCCCAGGAAATCCGGGCGAATGTAGCCAAAGAGGAGGCTGAGAAACTGAAAGCAGCCCTGGAGGCAGCAGGTGGAACTGTAGTGTTGGAGTAGAGAGATGTTTTATCACGTGGCTGCTCATGCACTTGGTTCTTTTTTCTTTTTTTCCTTTCTACCGTTTCCTTTTTTTTTTTTACACGACAAAGAACAGAGTATGCCAGGAGTAAAAGAAACAAAGACATGCCTCCTGACATTAGCACGGTTTCTCTGCATCTTCATATGCGGCAACTCAGACTGAACTTTCCAGGCAGACTGCCTGCACCGGTGGCTGCCCCATCGTCTGCTAGTCCACATGTCTGTCTGTCTGTCTGTCTGTCTGTCTGTCTGTCTGTCTCATTGTTCTGTAGCAGATCTGCTACAGCAACACCAGGCTGTGTGTCAGTAACCCATTTGTCCATCCCCTTGTGTGTATGTATGTTCTTTCTGTTGACAGATAATTGACAGCTCCCAGTTATGAAGAACACCGGGTACTTTACCATGTTAAAGAGTGTTTACTGCTCAAAGAATTGTTAATAATGTGATTAAAGGTGAAATCTCCCCATCTTCCTCCTGTTCTTTAACATAATTTGTTTGTTCTGTTATATTGATGGTGTATGAAAAACTTTAAATATGCGAAACAAGATAATGTTGAACCACCTACTGCACAAAGGGACGGGAAAAATGTATTTTCCGCGGTCACTCGGAAAAACACAAATTTAAGAAATCTACAATTTACAACAACTGACCAGCAGATGTCGCTGTATCACCTCTAATAATTTTATATAAACTTTGGCAGCAACAATAAATGCTTTTTGTCAAAAAACAAAGTGGACACTGAAAATAGAAGGAGAGCAATTTTCTGTGAGGTTTTTCTCCAGTTAAAAATAGAGTTCATAGAAGGTTTGAACTAAAAGCGTGTCCTTTTTGGCCGTCTGTTGAAATTCAAATTTTTCATTCTGAAATTTATGTGATCAAACTGCTGGAATCTTGATAATTTTTTGATGTCTCATTTACTGATTGTCTGTGCTGTGTCATCATGTCTGAAAAACTGAAGATTGTCAGTAGTTGATTGTCCTTAACAGAGATTCTGCAAAACAGCTTTAGGATGTTTCCCAAGGGGCTTAAATACTGCACCTCAGGGATGAGCAGAAATAGGCAGAGTAGACTTTTTAAAACTAATTCATGCTGACAGGGCCAGTAATTGAGATCAAATTAAATATTGATTCCAATATATGAGGGCTGTAGAAGCCTTATCTTCTGATATTAAGATAAGATTAAATGAAATTGACTCAAGTTTAAACTGATTCACCTTTTATTCCTCTTTCTGCTTAAATTAAACATGATGACAGGACTTACAACAATGATTCCCAACCAGTGTATCGTGGCCCACTGGTGTGTCGTAAGAGACCATAGGGTGTACTGTGAGTCAGAAAGTTAATATCTATTTACTGCAGATAATTTCTCTTCATTGTATAATGTGACAGGCAGGACAAATACCCTTCCACCAGGTGGCAGTAGATGGTTATAAAATGTAAAAAAAAAAAAAAAAGTGAGATGCTAAGAGATGTGGAGAGATGTGGAAGAAGATTTTGATGTCTTTTTTTAATTCGTGTATCAGCGTTGTGTTCAACTAAACAGGCCTAGGAAAAGTGAACTGAGAGATTGGACTTTCCAGTCTGACTACCTGTAGCTGCCCGACTGTTTGCTAATCAATGTGTGTCAGTAACCCATATGTCCAACCCATATGTATGTACGTGTGTTTGGGTGCATTCTCTCTGTTGACACATTATTGATGGTCCCCAATCAGGAAGAACAACACATAGTTTATTGTGTGTCAGTAACCGACAAGTCACATTAGATCAGTCTTTCTTGAATTCCTGACACTATATCAGTGTTGTGTTCAAGTAAACAGGCCCTGGATTTACAATACGTAATTACCTTGCAAGTATATTGAAAGAAGATCATTATTTTTTCACATTATAATTTATTTCATATAGATTTTGTGACTTTGTTTGGTTGTATGGTCTTTGTTCTGACAGTGATCGGTTATTAAGTCCAGTGTGTCGTGGATCATAGATACCACAGCCCATTTGGCCAACATTAACAACACAGACTTAACACTTTATCAGTTTATCTAGTCCAGCAGTCAGTCAAATCTACGTGCACCAAACTGCCCTTTCATTTCAACCTTAAATTCATAAAAATATAGTCTATTACAGAGAGTTATATTACTGTTTTTCTCAGAAATTACCGCTTTATGAGCAGCTGGCTGTTTTATTGCCTTGTCTCATTTTCCTCAAATTTGTAGAATTGCCATAATCTGGCCAGTCACTGTGATAGTGATGACTCTAAACAACTCTTTTCATCTCAGTCAATAGCCTTGTTTGTATGCTTTAATAGACAATTGAATTTATAGCCCAGTTCTACTGATTCACTTTTGTATTGCCCACAGATATTACCCAGTTCCTCAATTGATTTTCCTGAAACCCATCCCTCTGACTGAATGTTTGCAGCTAACTTCAAACTGACAAAACCAATTAAGCTGCCTGCTCTAATGCATGATGTTTTCAACTCAACCCACAATACTCCCCCGACAACCCCCCCCCCCCCCCCCCCCCCCCAGGACGACAGAGCTGCTGCGTTCCTTCCTGTTTATACAAGGAGGCGTTGATCTGTGGGTGTGTGTGCGCTTGTTCATTTCTGCTGCCTCCATGTTCTTATTTCCTGTTTCACACGTGTGACTGACTGAAAGAATCCAAGTGGCTATCACTGTTAACTGGTGAGGAGAAAAGGTTATATCCTCTTCACAGCGGTTTTGACATTTGTTAGAGGTTCCAAACAAGACTCAACTCTGAGCTCATTGGAAGACTTTTTTACTGTTTGTACTTCAAAGGATGACAGATCTGTCATTTACACTGGGGGTAAAAAGAATCCTGTTTATATTTAATCTAGATAAAGTTCCTCCTGTTACTGGAGACTGGACATTGATGCTTTCAGATAGAGAACAGCAGATTTTTCGGACTCTCAACAGTTTTGGTGAACTTCAGCAGAGTGCTTTGTTGTTTTAAAGGTCACTTTCATCATCAAAGCCATGCTAATTTATTCTGCTATTTTGGATTTTCTGTCATTGAGAGAAGTAATAGAAGCCACATCTAACGCAAGCTTTTGACAGGGACATTGTGTTTTCCAGTTGTCCATCTGTCCATCCCGTTTACAAGAATATCATATCTCAGAAAAACCCCAGGGAACTTCATCAGATTTGATTAAAGCTCCACTGGAACGGGATAATGACTGAACTAGACCTGTTTTTGTGGACAAACTAAAGGCCAGGAAATTTCAAAGTTTGGCAGAAATGTTCACTTTGACTCTGGGCCAAGGTCCAAGGTTTTTGGTCGTAGATTTATTTTATCCAATAATGTATCAATTGACTCTCCAGAAAAGCAGACCGGGTTGATTGAATCACGTTCTAAGGTCAACTGTGACAATTTTATGACCATTAATCAACATTATTACTCTGTGAAAGGAAGGAAGGCTTGAGATCATCTTTCCTGCTGGGCCGACGCATTCAACCACAGAGCGGTAATTGAAGTTATTGATGTGTTTTCTGGTCATCATTTACAGGTGAATTTAGTGGGCCCTTAGCTGACGTATTAAAAGTCAAGCAATTCTTTTCTCCAACACTTTAATTGCCCCTGAAATGCCAAAAAATTGTCAAAGAAATTCTCAAATATTTGGACTGGTCATTTCTGATATAGTAAAAACACGAAAATGTCAGTTTTGTTTTAAATAAAATTATGAGCTTTTCGAAGCAGTTGCTGTGGATGTGGCAACATTTGGGGGGAGGGGCTCAATGGCCCTTTCAACAAAAGGGGGGAAATACAAAGCACAAGTAGATTTGAATCATGAAATAACACTTACAATTGTAAACATAGCACCCCCTACAGACCAGAAAAGGGGTTGACACAAGCTCAATGCTGACAAACACACAAAAAACAAACAAACAAAAAAACCCTGTAAACTTCAAACTAAAAAAAAATCTACTATGCAGCAAAATTATTTTCTTTATACATATTTGAGAAGGAAGTTCTGCTGCTGGAGTACTTGCAGCCCTCAGCTGTAAAAACATAAATCTGCCTTTAAAATGATGTCAAACCTGACGTCTGTGCACTGAACTTATAAATCATTCAACACCGGCACCCTGCCAAAGTAGTGGTTCTTTTTTAAATTTCAACGAAGATGGAGAAGTTGGATGTAGATTTGACTGCACTCAAATCATTTTGTTCTCTCAATTAACATTTTTCTCTCAGTTTGAAAGTAAGATAACAAAAAAGAAGGCATGCGGGACAATTAACCTGCTTTGAAATGTGTCAAGTAGTTAGTACGACTTTGGGCAAAGAAAGTGAATTCGTAACTTTCTGTGTTGAGGTTTTCAATGAGATGTCTCTGCTTTGAATTCAAATCATGTCCTCGGACACGATTATCCATCTGTTGCTCTGAAAAAGCAGACAGGCAGCTATTAGGAGCGTTAGCTCTGTTCACAGAGAAGGTAGCATTCAGACAAGATTGCTTTGCATCAAAGCAGCTTTTGTTCATATGTTCCATTACCCAGAAGAAACGCCTCCACTCTGACGCAGTCGACCCCAAGAGTGAAACTAAAGTGAATAAGTCAAACCTCGTTCCTTTTCCACGGCAGTATTTTCTATTTTTATTCAAAGTGACCATGCAGACGTAAATACAGCTCTTGCAAAATCATCACAATTCCAGAACATGCCAAGGGGATTTCTACTTCCCGCCTCCTCCTGCGGTGTTGTTTTGTTTCATTAGCAATTAACCGAGGGATCGGTACTTGTGTACGCAAGGCGTCGGCGCCGTCACTGTTAATGCTTTCACAACTTGTAGTTGTGGCTGTCCTTTCTTGTTATTTTGTTATTCTTTGTTATTCTGTCTTTTTCCTAGTCCCTTTTTTTTAGCTCGTGTTTCTGAAATTGACTGCTACAGTAATCACATTACTCGTTTGTTTGCTAAGGATTCTTTGCGTGAACCGAAAATGAATGGAAAAATTATATAAAGTGAACAGGTAGAAAACCGAGATTTTAACTCCTTATATTAGTAGAATGTGTTTGTAGGAATATTTAATTGCACGTCTAATTAAAGTAAATGAGGTCTTATTATATTGTCAGCATGCAGTGTTTATTTAGGCCACTTAATTATAGACTTAAAGGAGAACTCTTCATGTTTACAGGGTCTAATTACTGTCATCAGGCATAAGTGAGAAGACACAATCACACAAAATCAATTTCAGGTCTTTTTTTTCACAGTGTTCAAACATTTCTGGTCTCTCAACATGACAATTATTGTAAATTTCTATCTTAAGTCACCACATTTTTGAGAATTCAAACAGTGGAAAGTTTTAGCTAATGCAAGATGGCTGAATAGAGGTGTGTTTTTTTAATATTATTCATGAGTTATGGGTCTTCATGGGTTCTAAATGAAAGCATCAAAGCTCCAACTTGTATAAAAACAAACCTGCGTCTGCCTTAGAACCATCATTGTAATAACTCTGCAGCCATACCAGAAAATGAAAGTCAGTCATGCGTTCTCAATTTCAGATAAGACACTGAGATCTAAC